TATATATATATATGTATACATATATGTATACATATATATATATATATATATATATACATATATATATGTATACATATATATATACATATATATATATATCTATATACATATATATATATTTTTATACCCGGTAGGCAAACCACCAAAATCAGTGATGTAAATGCCGGAGAACATTTACCGGATATTATAAAAGAAATTAAAACGATTACACAAGGGGGGACATAACACCTTACCCTTAACGGTACAGAGCTCACACAAAGAGCAGAAAATAAACGAACGCAGATCTATAAATAAATATAAGGAAACGATGAAGCATCCAATGTTAAAGCTCCTGCTAATTCTTTGGGTACGTTATCTCCCGTCCTCCAAAAAAAGGGCTCAAGTAGGTTCGCATGAGAAAACTATCTTAGGAGAGAAATGAGAACAAATATCAACAATTAGATTTACACTCTTTAAAAAAATCGTGTGCATAAGTGGAGGCTAGTTTGTCATTTCATATCTGCATTAATTACCATTAAACGTAAGTGCCCAAAATCTTGCCACTACTTAGGCCGTTTTGCAATATTACATTAATACATACACTACTTTCTTTTGAATTATTTATCTATTCTTTCTTTCCATTATCATAGTAGTTACGTTCCTCTATTTTTTTGACGTGTAGCTATACATTTCATATTTTAATTGGGGTGTATTTTTTAATTATGTATTTTGAATTTGATAACTATCCTATTTTTTTGTTCAAATTATGCACTTCTAATATTTTTGTATTTTAAAAAACAAATACTAATTGAAAATAAATACCATGACTATATGGCAACTTGTTTGAGAATATAAAAGAATGATCGATTCTTAATAGATACCAACTTGAAAATTTAAACATGCCTAATTTAAAATATAGCATTGAAAAAAGTATAGTGCATAATAATATGTATAAAGGTGCATGATGCACTTTTGCTACACGTGATGGATAGTCTACCCGGGGGTATATATCCGAAGGGTTATTACGGGGAATAACTTAGAGAGAAGTCAGAGCAAGTAAGTAAAAGTAGAGAGAGAGTGTATTCAGTATGAATGCCGTTTTCAGCGTGGTTACAAATGGGGAAATGGGGTGCTATTTATAGTAGCAATAAATGCCGGGCAGGGACACGTGTCAAGCGCTCATTGGCCGAGGGGTCACCTCAACTTGTTGGCGCTGGCAGCCGCATGTAGCCGCATTTAATGCGGCTGTTGGATGGGACGTCTGTGCAGGGTACAGTGATCTGTACGCATGTGAGGCGGATATCTTGTCGAGTGAGATGCCTTCGGCCATAGAGCAGTAGCCGAAGGCTCCTCCAACCGAGGGCACCTTGGTGCCGAGGGCTCACAGTACCGAGGGCTACTGTTTTCGCCGTTTTCTCCCAGTTTCTTAGTTTGCTTGAGAAACCCGTTCTGTGAGGGTTTAGACCCTTCGGCCAGGGGCCGAAGGCACCCCTGGCGCGTAGTGCGGGCTGCTTGGTACTCTGGGCGCTGTGATTTGGGCCTGTCGGGCCTTTTGGGCCTGTTGGGCCTTCGCTGGAGTAGTAGGAGTCTGTGGGCCGGGGGTTCCCGGGCCATATACTCCATCAGGAGTCCCTCACTCCTTTTGCCGAAAGGTACTTGGGGGAAAAGGAGTAATTTGTGCTTGCCCTTTGATGTTGTCCCTGTCGTGATCTCTGAAGTTGGTGAGGAGTTGTTGCTTTTATGTCCCTGCCGAAGGCAGTCCCTCAGTTACCCACATGTCGGGACTTGAGGGCTTGCCTTGTCATTTGTTGGAATTTCACTGATTTTGTAATTTAATGATTTTCCCGAGGGGGTCCTCCAGTCCCCCACTCCTTGAGGCACTTTGTAAAGTGGTGAAAAGGAGTAGAGTAGTTGCGTTGCTGTTGTGGGCCGAAGGCTGACGTTTTTTCGTTTCATTTTGGGGGGATGCCTCGTTAAAAACCTCATTAGGAAAAACCCTTTGGGAAAAAATCCTAATGAGGGAAAAAGAGTGCACCGAATTCCCCCAATGATGAATCGAAAATGTCAAACCTTGGTAAAAAATGGAGAATGACGGGAATGCCGAAGGCTCTCTCTTCTGAGGGCTCCTGTGTTGATTAGCCGAAGGCTTGCTGTTGATGTCCTGGTGGCGCCGAAGGGGAGCCCCTCAATTCAGGGATCGAGGGCCTGCTGGATGAGGGCGGCAATGGAGTTGTTACCGGGGGGTCCACTGTTTGTTGATTAGTTGGTGATGAAGATACCCGAGGGCTCCCATTACCCGTGTGCCATGGGCCATCCGTCAATGAGGCAACTCCCCGGGGGCTACCCGGTTTTGCAGTGCTGAGGGGGAATCCCCGAGGGGTGCCCTGATATGAAGCCTTGAGTTTCTGAAGGGGTGAGCCCGAAGGCATCTGCTATGGGCTGTGTGGGGCATATCCCGGGGGCGTCTCTGGGTAAGTGTATCCGGAGGCTCTCCTTGATGTAGCGGAGTGCAGTAGAAAACCCGGGGGCTTCCAGAATATAGCCGTTGGAAATATAGCCGTTGGAATACGTAACGTCAGGATATAGCCGTTGAGGGGGGGGACACGTGGCGCGTGATGGCTGGCTGTCCGGAGGCCCGGAATCCAGGCCCAAGCCCGGATTCCGTCGCCTATAAATACCCCAAGGCCAGGGCCATTCCCCGCTGTGTGAACTCAGTGTAGCGAAGCTTTCAAGGTCAGTTCCCCCCCCCCCCCCCGCCTTTCTCCTTCTAGTCTAGCTGTGCCTTGTGCCCCTAGTTTAGGAGATAGAATTTCCTAGGAAACCTTAGTTTTCCCGAGCCTTCGAATTAGTGAGCAGATGTCATCACAGAGCGACTCCCAGGATATCTCGGGGGAGCCTTCGGTAGAGATGGAGACATGCTCAGATGTGGAGTCTTCGAGTGTGGAGTCCTCGGCAGGTGGTGATGCCGCAGTGGCCATGGAAGTGGAGAAGGACCTCCAGGCCGAAGTCGAAGCCGAGGGCTTCGAGCAAGAAAACGAGGATGAAGAGCTTGCCCTCGCCGTGCAAACCGCCGAGCAGGAAGAGGAGAGGGAGAGGCTGAAGGTGACGGTTGCCATTCCTCCCCCCCGGGGTGCCGGGGAAGCCAGCTCCTCCCGGCCATTGGACCCGACGCCCATAAGTGTGGCTCCCGGGAAGAAACACAAGACGAAGGCGGCCCCGAGGAAGAAGCAAGCGGCAGTGGATGCCGGGCGGCCGGTGGGCATACCCGAGGGCCATTCGTTCTTGAATACTGCCGCTCTAGAGCTGAAGACGAAGGCGTCCCCGGCAGAATACCAGTCCACCCAGATGCTGGTTGGACCTTCGGCGCGCGTGGTGGAGCCCAGGGCGGATGATTTGCTGCGATACGCGCCCGAGGGGTGCTTTGCTGCTCACACCCTCTCGGTGGAGATGGGGCTCCGGTTCCCGCTCCATCCTTTTCTCTTGGAGTATCTGAGATTTGTGGGGTTGGCCCCTTGCCAGCTAACGCCCAACAGCCACTCCTATGTGGCCGGCTTCCTCTCCTTGTGTCAGAGCCGGGGGGTCGAGCCCACACTCGATCAATTCTTCATGTCCTTCAACCTTTGCCGAGGGGGACATTCAAATGCTGAGGGCTTTGCCAACCTTCAGCAGGTACCGTAGTTCCGGCTTTTTGATGATGTGCCCTCGTCTCACAAGGGGTGGAAAGAGAGGTTCTGCTATATCCGCCTCGAGGAGAACCCCTTCCCGGCCCAGCTTCGTAATAGCTTCCGGCGCCATCCGAAGGTGGGGAGCGCAGCTTTGGAAAAGAATGGCAAAGTGCTTGCCAAGAAGCCGGAGGGGTCTGACAAGCATGTTAAGATCAGAGAAGTTACTCTTCCGGAGGATTTGCTTAACCTGGGCTTCCGGCAGTTCAGGCCGAGGGGCTCTTCGGATGAAAGATACCCTCCCCTCGATAGGGTCTTCGAAGGCGCCGGAGGTGATCACCGAATTGTTCACTGATGCGTTGATAGTTCTCTCTTATTCCGCCCCCTTTTTTTATGACGTAGTAACTGGTAGCCTTCGATCTAACCCTCCTGTTTTTTTTTGTTGCTTGCAGGTAACAATATGGAGGTTGGTTCCCTCTTCGCTTTGAAAAACGCGAAAGGGAAGAAGAAGGCCCCGGCGGGCGCTTCTGCCAGGGAGGGGCCCTCTCAAACTGCTGGCGCTGCTGCTGGCGCCGGAGGGTCCAAGGGTGCTGGGCCCGTTAAGAAGAAGATTGCTGGAAAGGGGACCGAGCCCCCGGCCAAGAAGCCGAAGACCACCGCCCCTACCAAACAACCGATCACCGATGTGGTGGTGATTGTGGACGAAGGGCACGCTTCTGCCTCCACCCCCCAGGAACAAATCAATCAGGAGTTCTTTGGGCGGGAGAGGTTGGAGGCGTTAGTACCGAAGGGGGCCTCTGTGTTGGAGGGCAGCTTGAACCCTTCGGCTCTGATGAGCCAGATGCTGCCGTCGGCCGACCGACTGGCCCTTGCCCGGCTGGACGAGGGATCCCTCGAGGCGAAGGTCCTCCTGAATGCTGCCTCCGTAAGTCACCTTCCCTTCTTTGCTCATTGTTATGTTTTCCTTCTGTATTATGTTCATTATGCCTTATTCTTGCCTTCGTGAATTGCAGACATTTATGGGCCTCTGCGAGCACCTCCGAAGGGTGGATCAAATGAGGGAGGCTAAGGGTGCCGCCGAGGGGGAGGCCGCCCTCCTCAGGAAGAAGCTTGCTGAAGCCGAGGACTCTCTCCGTCTGGCCACCGACGGCATGGAGCAGAGGGTGCAGGCTGCAAGGGCCGAAGGGGTCAATGAGGGGCTAGCCAGGGCCGGGGAGGCTGCCGCCGAGGCCGCCCGTATTGCTGCCGATGAAGCCCGCGCGGCTCAAGAAGAGGCCGTCTCCAAGGCCCGAGAGGATGCGGTGATCAGCTTCACGGCCGAAGGGTGGAAGGCCGAAGACCGGAGGGAGTGGCTCGCTTCGGTAGTGGGGGCTTCAGTAGACGAGTGGGTCGGGGGCCCTAGAAAGATGTGGCTTGCCGAGAGGGGCGACTCGTACTACCAAGGCGGGGAGTTCTTCACCCAACGCCTCATCTACCGGAAGCTTGCGAAACACTTCCAGGTGGCACCGGAGGAGTTCCGTCCAGAGGCTTATGGTCTCCCCCCTCGCCAGCCAGATGTCAGGATCCCGCTCCCCGAGGGGGAAGAGAGGCCAGTTCTTGAAGACTCGGAGACCCTCCGGGAGTGCGGCCTTGGGGGTGAAGAAGATGAAGCCGAGAGCGAGGCGATGTCCACAGTACCCCCTTCTTGAATTGTAATCCCCCCTTTCGTGTTGTAATTGCTGGCCTCGGCCTCCTTTGTAATAGTGTATTTAAACTCCCTTTTTTTAATGAATGAGTACATATATGCCCTCGGGCCTTTGACATATAACATGCTTCCTTTCGATTTGTTCATTGTCGAATATATGCCTTCGTCTTGCTATGGATGTATGCCTGTGTTTCTTTGAATGTATGTTTTAGGACTTAGATTTTTTTTCTGACTGTAGCTTGCCCCTGGAAGCCTTCGGTAGTTGGGCACCCTCCGCTGGATATGCAACCGAGGGTGCAGCAGCAATTAGGACTTAGAAATGTTTCCTAAGTGTAGCACAGCATGAGGCCTTCGGGCGTTTGTAGTAACCCAAATCCTAGGACTTTGAAAAATTTCTAAGTGTAGATTTCCTCTTGAGAGCCTTCGGGATATGGCATCCCTTCCTGATGTGTGATTGTTGGACCGAGGGCCCAATGTACAGGACCTAGAAATTTTTTGCAAGTGTAGTATACCACGTAGCCTTCGGCTACTGTGGAGCCTCAACTGAAATATTGAGTAGGCCGGGGGCCAATTCTTTAGGACTTAGGAAATTTTCTTGAATGTTGATTCCTTGTGTACTGTAGCCTTCGATTGATAGGCAGCCTTCGGCAATTAGGTCCCTTGAGATGAGGGTGAAATATGTAGGACTTAGAAAATCTTCTAAGTGTAGAGTTTCCCTTGGGAGCCTTCGGGAGATGGCATCCCTCCATGATGTATGAGTAGCTGACCGGGGGGGGGGGGGGGAATATGCAGGACTTAGAAAATATTCTAAGTGTGGATTTTCCCTTGGGAGCCTTCGGGAGATGGCATCCCTTCTTGATGTATGAGTAGTTGACTGGGGGAAAAACATGTAGGACTTAGAAAATATTCTAAGTGTGGATTTTCCCTTGGGAGCCTTCGGGAGATGGCCTGCCGGGAGCTTTCTGGAAATGTTGACATGCGGTGCACCTCCGGGCAAGGTCAGCACAATCCCTGGCCATGGTTGGCCAGAAGTAGCCCTGGAGAATGAGCCTTCGGGACATGGAGAAGGGTCCCTGGTGAGCTGAGCAAGTGCCACTGTGCACTTCCTCCATTGCGACCTCGGCTTCATCTGGATGAAGGCACCGAAGTAGCGTGCCATTGTAAGATCGTTTGTAGAGCCTTCCATCTTCGATGGTGTAGCTAGGAGCCCTCAGCTTTGCTAGTTTAGCGCGGGCCTCATTTTCGGGTAGCTGCCCTGTGGAGATGAAGGCGGTGATATCTGAGATCCAATCCTCCTGACGTTGTTGTATGTTCATAACGGGGCTTGCATGGATGCTTGAGAGGCTGAGTTCCTCGATTTTGGCAATTTTGGAGATGTGCTCGGGGGAGTCGGCCGAGAGCTTAGATAATATGTCGGCCTCGGAGTTCTGAGCCCTCGGTATTTGAGTGAGAGAGTGTGCCTCAAATACCTTAAGCAACTCCTTGGCTGCTTCCTTGTACTGTTTCATTCTCCCCTCCTTGGCCTCATATTCTTCGGAGATTTGGCCAACGACCAACTTGGAGTCGCATTTGATGTGGATCTGTCGAGCCCTCATGTTGGCAGCCAGCCGAAGGCCACATAGGAGGGCCTCATATTCGGCCTCATTGTTGGAGACCTTGAAGGAGAAGCGGATTGCATAGTAGGCCCTGAAGCCCTCGGGAGTAATGAGGACTACCCCTCCCCCGCATGCTTTGGTCGCGGAGGAGCCGTCAGTGTAGAGGGTCCACTAGTCGTCCGAGGTAGCCGAGGGCTCCCCGTCCGTGGCTGCCCTTGCGGTACACTCCGTCACAAAGTCTGCCAGGGCTTGGCCCTTGATGGCAGGCCTTGGGCGGATGTCAATGTTGTACTGGCTCAAGAAGATAGCCCATTTCACCATGCCGGAGGAGCTGGTGGGGCTCCTCATGAGGGCGCCGAGGGGTTGATGAGTGAGGACCTGAACCGGGTGAGCCTGAAAGTAGTGGCCCAACTTCTTGACGGTCCAAACGATGGCCAACACCGTTTTTTCCACAGGGGAGTACCTGAGCTCGGCCTCCCTTAGGGTCTTGCTAACGTAGAAGATGGCATGTTGGGTGCCGTCTTCCTCCCGAATGAGCACAGAGCTGATGGCCGCCGGGCTAACCCCAAGGTAGAGGTAGAGGGTCTCCTCTACCTTGGGTTTGGAGAGCACAGGAGGTGAAGATAGATACCGTTTGAGCTCGTCGAAAGCCCCCTGGCATTCTGGAGTCCATAGAAAGCCAGCCGTCTTCCTCATGATCTGGAAGAAGGGTAGAGACTTCTCCGCTGATTTAGATAGAAAGCGGTTGAGGGCTGGCAGGCGACCCGTCAACCGTTGGACTTCCTTCACATTGCGTGGGGGCTCCATGTTGATGATGGCTTGGATCTTCTCGGGATTGGCCTCAATACCCCTTCGGCTCACCATGTAGCCCAAGAATTTGCCCCCTTGGACGCCGAAGGTGCACTTCTTCGGGTTTAGCCGAAGGTTGAATTTTTGCATGATGGCGAAGATCTCTCGGAGGTCGTCAGCATGGCTGGAAGATTGTTTGCTCTTGACGATCATGTCGTCAACATAGGCCTCCATGGTGCGCCCTAGGATGGCTTGAAAGACCCGGGCCACCATCCGGGTGTAAGTGGCCCCCGAGTTCTTTAGGCCGAAGGCCATCACTAGGTAGCAGAAGATTCCCTCGGGAGTCATGAAGGCAGTTTTTTCGGCGTCCTCCTCGTGCATGAAAATTTGGTGGTACCCTCGGAAGGCATCGAGGAAGGACATGATCTCACACCCTGCGGTCTCATCCACCAGTTGGTCAATGTTTGGTAGAGGGAATGGATCCATAGGGCACGCTTTGTTGAGATCGGTGTAGTCCACGAACATGCGGAAGGTAGGGGGCTTCTGTGCGAGGACTACATTTGCCAGCCATGAGGGGTATTTCACCTCCTTGATGTGCTTAATTGAGAGGAGCATGGCGACCTCCTTCTTCACGAATTCCCTCCTCTCGGCGGAGAGGGGTCTCCTTCGTTGTTGTACTGCTTTTGCCGAGGGGTCCACCGAGAGGCGGTGGGTGATGACCCTTCGGCTGATTCCCGGCATGTCCTCCGGCCCCCATGCAAAGACAGTGGAGTAGGCGCGGAGGGCGTCGGTAATACCGGTCTTCAGATCTTCAGGGAGCTGGGCTCCAATCTTCACGACTCTCTCCGGCTGGGCCGGATCGAGCGCAAAGTCTTCTACGTCCTCACCCGGTTCAGCCCTCGGCCTTCTTTCCTCTTGGTCGATGGTTCCGGTGATGGTGTCAACACGGAATTCCGTCTTGCTCACCTTCTTAGTGACCTGAAGATAGCAGGCGTGGGCAATTTTCTGGTTCCCCCGGGAGTAGCCAATGCCCCCCTCGGCGGGAAACTTGAGGCAGAGGTGCCTCATGGAGATGATGGCTTCGAGGTCCTCGAGGGTTGGCCGGCCGAGGATGATGTTGTGGGCGCAGTCAATGTTGACGACGACGAACTCCACTTCGAGCTGGGCTCTATGGAGCCCGTCGCCGAAGATCACCGGGAGGGTTATTACCCCCTCGGAATCAATAGTATCGCCGGTGAAGCCGGCAAGAGGGGTCTTAATGGGCCGAAGGGACCCCCTCTCCAGATGCAGCTCTCTGAAGGTGCTGAGGTACATTACATTGACGGAGCTGCCCGTGTCAATGTAAGTTCGGTGAATGATGGTGTCGTTTATCTCCGTCCGAATCACCAAAGCATCCCTGTGAGGAGAAGAAGTAGGAGGGAGATCTGCGTTGGTGAAGGTGATGGGTTCCTCCCTCAGTCTTTTTACCGGGGGCATATGAGTGACTTCCCCTACGTAAAGCGATTGAGCCCACTTCTTTCGCTGGCTGGTGGAATCGCCCCCTGTATTGCCACAGGTGATCATGAGGATGTGGCGTTTCTTCTCCTGGTAGTGGGGGTACTCCTCCTCCTCTTCTTCCAAGTTCCCGATCTCCCTCTTCTTGCCGAGGGGGATGGTGTTCGGATTTACCCAGGCATTTACCTTCGTATGGTGCCCTCGGGGAGGTCCCTGATGAGAAGGTCCCTCCTGCCGAGGGCTCTGGACAAATTGGGACAGGTGCCCCGCCTGTATTAATCTCTCGATGGCCGTCTTCAGCTGATGGCAGTCATCGGTCCTGTGCCCCTGGTGCCGATGGAAGCGACAGTAGGGGAACTGAGGGTTGATAGCGTGTACCTCCGGGGGTGCGCGAGAATCACGCTCAACGAGGCCCCTCTCCTCGGCAAAATCGAGGATGATGCTGACGGGGTGCGTCAATGGTGTCCGAGGGCGGTCCAGGAGAATGGGCTGTGCCCAAGTCTTGGGGTTGCTCTTATATCCTCCCCCGGGCTTGGCTTGGCCTTGCCGGGGGCGGTCATCAGAGGGTCCCGAAGCCTTGGGGTGATTTGGAGGAGCCCCCGGCCCTCG